AGTTCAGCGGAGTGAGCCTTAGGTGACCCGAAGTGCGAGTGAAGTAGCTACCCGTCCTCACCAGCGTTCTCGTTCATCAGCATCAGGGATCAGCCGTAACTCAAAGGAACATGGTGGGGTTTCCTCATCATCATCAGGACTGCTCGTCATTGCCATCATCATTTCTTAATCATCACTGTTGTCGACCATGACTCAAAGGAACAACGTAAGGGTTCCGTTATCATCATTAGGGCTGCTCACCGTCGCCACCAATATCATCAGGGTGATGCTCGTCATCATCATTAAGGCGGTAACTGGGGGCGCGAGCAGCTTGTCAGTAATATTGCATTACTAGTATTGGAAACAAGGTAAGTTGGCTAGCGTGCAAGCACCTCATTCATATTTTACTATTTCAGGGTGCTAGGGTGCTGCCCATCCCTATTATCACCATCATTAGTGCACCACCACAGGGCGCGTAATTAGCAATTTCATCATCTTGATCGTAGTCATCAGTGATCATCGTCATCATTATCATCATCGTCATCATTTACTTTCATCGTGATCTGTCCCATCGGAAGTTGACTCTCGTCAGCAGTATTCATCATCATCATCATCATCATCATCATCATCATTATCATCATCATTGAAATCATAATCACCAGTCATCATCATCATCATTTCAACAATCATCCATCAAGGTTACCGCCACGACGAGGAGCCGCACGCGCTAGAAAACTGCACGCAGCAAGGAAAATAGCGCGCGTGCACTCTACGATTGCGCGCGATTGGGTGCACGCCCTGAGCTGAAAATTGGACCACCGGTGGTCTATGGCGAGAAGCAGAGGTGGTCCAAATTTCAGATCAAATGGTCCACCGGATTAGGAAATATCGAAGATCTAGGGCGCGCCATGAAATTCGAGTGTGTCGGGCGATGCACTATCAGCAAGTCGCCATCAAGATTACTAGTCATCTGCAGTATCATGAGCATCAACACTATCATCCTCATTTTAGGTCCGCAATTAATATTTCTCTTGGGCAGCTTCATTAGCATGCTCACCCTCATCATAATTTTTTCATTACTCGTAATTCATCTGTAGGCGAAGTTGATCACCACTGCTATCCTTAGGTTTGCTTCACTCAAATAGTCATTCATAACACTTCCATTGTCATCACTACCATCATCAATACTAAAATCATCTGAAAACTTTCAGTCTCAAGGTATCATTTTTGGCTACCCAATTATCCAATAGTCATTAATGTTTACATCCTGATTAGCGATATCCTGATAACCTACATCTAGATTACCTATACTTTGATTACCTATATCCCGATTACCTATTTCTTGATTACTTACTTCTTGAGGAGAATTTTCTTTATTGTTTTTTTCATGAGTTTCCTTTTTCTAATTGGGGATTTTGAACATTGAATTTTGCAGACGCTTTAGTAGGGATAGGACTTCGGAGGTTACGGCTGGAATTTTGGTAGGCCGGGGGTTTTTGAGACCCCAGGGTACAGACATACGGTAGTTTACCCACAGCAGGTCTGAGATCCACCTGGCCTAAGTTAGGGGACAAGCCAGGGGAAGGACGGTAGGAATGTCAGCCTAGGCTCCGCCTAGCCTTGGGTAAGCTAGGGGAAGGAGAGATAGGGCTGGCCAGTTGTGGGTATAGACTACTAGTTAGTTATCCCTGAAAAATTAACCCTGGGGTCTGTTACAGGGGAGCCTTATTCTACAGGGGTGTTGCATGGTGGGAGGCAGTAGCCCTATTGGGAGTAGGGCAGATTGGGGATTGTCTGAGTCTGGGGCCGGGGTTGGAGAGTTGGTCGCCTTCATCCCCAGCGGGGGCAGACAAGGACAAGGGGTGGGCAAAGGCAGCCTCTAGGAGGGGATTGGTTGCCTTCGCGGATGTGGTGGAGGGAGGGGAGGGGATCTGTTTTATGTTGGGGCCGAGGGATTTTCCTCGGTGGAGGCAGCATGAGACAGGGTACAGCGGGTATGGATTGGTTTGAGTTGTGTCCAATGGAAGCGTATCCTTTTCACGATCTAATAAACTCGACGCGTCAAAAAAGATCTGATAATTTCAATACAGTTCAATACTTCAAAACCAGCCACCTGCTTCTCTACAATCTTGGCAGCACCTGGTCTTCTTCTTTATCTGGGATATAGGAATTCAGGGATCATCGAACCTAGACTGATAATTGCTGAAGTTGTTTTGTTCTGTGCTCCTGGATTGCCGATGCCAGAACAACGCCGGCCGGAGTTGGGGCATAGCCCTGTAACCTGTAAATGGCAGGGGCGGGAGGCCTTGTAGAGAGAGCTGGGGTTTGCTGAGGGAGGAAAGCAAGCCAATGGTGAACCAGGAGGGGCTACCACCTATGGGGTGGGGTTAGTCTGGGTAGTGAGGAGAGATAGGTTTGTCTTGTTCTAGAGTTGCAATATCCTGGTAAGGGAGGGCTTGGTGTTGTTCAGGATTAGGAGTCCAGTATGGCTGACTCAGCATGTGTAGCTACATTTTTTTGT